ACTATAGACTGACCATAGTCTGGACTATAGACTGACTATAGTCTGGACTATAGACTGACTATAGTCTGGACTATAGACTGACTATAGTCTGGACTATAGACTGACTATAGTCTGGACTATAGACTGACTATAGTCTGGACTATAGACTGACTATAGTCTGGACTATAGACTGACTATAGTCTGGACTATAGACTGACTATAGTCTGGACTATAGACTGACTATAGTCTGGACTATAGACTGACTATAGTCTGGACTATAGACTGACTATAGTCTGGACTATAGAATGACTATAGTCTGGACTATAGACCGACTGTAGTCTGGACTATAGAATGACTATAGTCTGGACTATAGACTGACTATAGTCTGGACTATAGACTGACTATAGTTTGGACTATAGACTGACTATAGTCTGGACTATAGACTGACTATAGTCTGGTTAACTGATAACAATCATCTCACTGTAAGCGGAAGAGAAAAAAAAAACCGATGAAAAGAAACATTAAAATGCCGACGGCTAAAAGTAAATTTTCATATGAAAATTGTATAAAACTCTGTGTCGACAATGTTTACCCGGCTTTTAGAGGTGGAGTCAGTGGCACAACTATAACAGCAACAACAACTGCAGCAACCTCCAGTAACCAGAAGGGCGGAGTTTACAAAAACAAAAATACACCAATAACAACAAAGATAAACAGACAGTTTCGTATACATTGTTGTTAAAACAGACAGAGAAAGAAAGTAAAAGAGAGATTTTAAAAATGTTTTAAAATTTAATTAGAAGAATTAGAGTTTTTGTCCATTTTGAATTAAAATTTAATTAAAATTTTAGTTAAATATAATTAATACACCCACTGTGGGCTAATTGCTAAAGATTCCATAAGGATTTGTTAATTCTTTATACTTCTTCCTTCATCCTTTTGTGTTTTTAATTTTAGTTAAAATTTACCTAAATAGTCCAATTTTTTATTAGAAAACAGGGACTGAGCATCAAAAACAGTTGCTTCTTTTCTTTTTATTTATATTCTTTAGTTTATCCTCCATCCTTTATATGTATTATTAGTCCTTTTTATTGTTGCTACTCATTTAATATAAGAGTTTTTGCTGTTGGTTGTTTGCCTGTCTATTCCAAAAAAAGTGTTTACTTTTGACTAACTAACTGTTTCGGTCTGTTGTTATTCTTTTTGTTGTTGTTGTTGGCATTGTGTATAAAACATATTTTAAGTGGCAACATGGCTGTTCCACCACCATATCAGGGATGTAAAATTGGATTTAATTTGCTACTACATATTCTTAAATGTAAAAAAGTAGAATTGTTGTAAGTTTTCCATCCCTGCCTGGCAACCATTCATTTCAGTTTTACTACTCCTCATTCTTTTAACAAGGAGGCTGTTTTTATGTATGTGTTTTTTCTGCTTTCACTGTTACTCCCTTTTCCCATCCTTGTTTGTGCTTTGTTTGTTCTATTCATTTTATGTTGTAGGTGTTTGTGTTTCTCCTTCATCATGGTTCTTTTAGTTTTCCCTACAAAGCGATTGTTTATTTTACTTTCTATTTTGTTTTTATTACAATTTTCTTTAGAATTTTGGAACGTTAAATTGTAATTAAGGCGTTAGGCGAAAAAACTACTATTTATAATCCATTACCTGTCTATCGTCCAGACTACAGTATAAGTATAGTTCAGATTATAGTCAGTCTATAGATCGGAATATCCAGACAATATTCAGTATATAGTCCCGACTATGGTTGGTTTATAGTCCAGACTACAGTCAATGTATAGTACAGACTATGGTTAATCTATAGACCATAGTCTGCCTATCGTCCAGATTATAGTCAATTTAGAGTCCAGATTATATTCAATCTATAGAACAGACTATAGTCAATGTATAGTCCAGACTATAGTTAATTTAAAGACCTGACTATAGTTAATCTATAGACTAGAGAATCGGCAATCTAAAGTCCAGACAATAGTCTTCATAAATATAACCCTGACTGTAGTCAGTCTATAGACCGGACTAAGCAAGTCTATAGTCCAGACTGTAGTCGCTCTATAGTCCTGAATGTAATCAGTTTTTAGTCCAAACTATAGTCAATCTATAGTTCAGACTATAGTGAGTCTATAGTCCAGACAATATTCAGTCTAGAGTATAGATGGTCAGTCTATAATCAAAATATTGTCCAGACAACCGTCTCCCTATAATCCAGCCAATAGTCAGTCTATAGTCTAGACTATAGTCGTCTTTTTTTAAGACTATAGTCCAGACAATCGTTAATATATAGTCGAGACTGTAGTCAGTCAGTTGAACAGACTATAGTCAGACTACACTCCAGACTGTAGTCAGTTTATAGTCCAGACTATAGAAAATCTATAGTCCAGACAAACGTCTAACTGTAGCGCAGATTGTAGTGAGTATACATTCCAGACTGCAGTCAGTTTATAGTCCAGACTATAGACAATATATAGTCTAAAATATAGTCAGTATGTAGTCCAGAATATAGTCAGTCTATAGTCCTGACCATAGTCAGTCTATAGTCCAAACTATATTCAGCTTATAGTCCAAACTATAGTTAGTGTATAGTCCTGACCATAGTCAGTCTATAGTCAGTCCATAATCCAAACTATAGTCAGTTTATATTCCACACTATAGATAGTCTGAAGTCCAAAATATAGTTAGTCTATAGTCCAGGATATAGTCAGTCCATAGTCCAGATAATCGTCTATCTATAGTTCACATAATATATTGAGTATAATCAATATATAGTCCAGACTTTGGTCAGACTATAGTCCGGACTATAGCCAATCTATAGTACTGACTATAGTCAATCTATAGTCCAGACTATCATCAATCAATGACAACCGTAAATCTATTGTCCAGGCTATAGTTAATCTATAATCTAGACTATTGTCAGTCTATAGTCCAGACTATATTCAGTCTATAGTCCAGATAATAGTCAGTTTATAGTCCAGACTATAGCCGGTCTATAGTCCAAACTATATTCAGTCTATAGCCCAGACTATAGTCAGTCTATAGTCCAGACTATAGTCAGTCTATAGTCCAGACTATAGTCAGTCTATAGTCCAGACTATAGTCAGTCTATAGTCAGTCTATAGTCCATACTTTAGTCAGTCTATAGTCCAGACTATAGTCAGTCTATAGTCCAGACTATAGTCGGTCTACAGTCCAGACTATAGTCAGTTTATAGTTCAGACCGTAGTCGGTCTATAATCCAGACCGTAGTTGGTCTATAATCCAGTCTTTAGTCAGTATATAGTCCAGACCGTAGTTGGTCTATAATCCAGACTATTGTCAGACTTTTGTCAATTACATTCCTTGAATACCCTTAATATAATTATTTAGCTTATTAAATAATTAATAAATTCTTTAAACACTCTATCACAGACTTTCTGTTTATTTAATCACTCATTCATTCTGTTTCTCATCATTATGCAATATTTATTATTGTTGAGTGTGTGTGTGTGTGTGTTAGTGTACGTATGTATATTTTCTATTTAATTAATATTAAATAAATACTGAAAAAAGTACGTCTAAATGCAATTACAATTTGTTAGTAAAACTGCATTATTATTTTTATTTGTTATTGTTGTTTTTGTTGCTTAAGTGTGTTAAATAATTACATGCAAAATCAATTGCCAGCAGAGAATTCTCAGTAAGATTTCATAATCAATCAGGTAATTTATAAAAAATTTAAAATAATTATTTAACATTTTGAACTAAAGTAAAAAACATTTAAGACGCGATTGAATGACTGTGTGAATAGTTTTCAATTAATATTGGACAAAACAAAACTAATCAGAAAGTGATGATAGTTATGCAAAAGGAATGACTAAGACTATAGTCCAAACTATGGACTATGGTTCAGACTATAAACTTTAAACCAGACTATAGACTATAGTCCAGACTATAGACTATGGTCCAGACTATAGACTATAGTCCAGACTATAGACTATAGCCCTGACTATAGACTATAGTCCAGACTATAGACTATAGTCCAGACCATAGTCCAGATTATATACTATAATCCAGAATATAGCCTATAGTCCAGACTATAGACTATAGTCCAGACTATAGACTATAGTCCAGACTATAGACTATAGTCCAGACTTTAGACTATAGTCCAGACTGTAGACTATAGTCCAGACTGTAGACTATAGTCCAGACTATAGACTATAGTCCAGACTATAAACTATAGTCCAGACTATAAACTATAGTCCAGACTATAAACTATAGTCCAGACTATAGACTATAGTCCAGACTATAGACTATAGTCCAGACTATAGACTATAGTCCAGACTATAGACTATAGTCCAGACTATAGACTATAGTCCAGACTATAGACTATAGTCCAGACTATAGACTATAGTCCAGACCATAGACTATAGTCCAGACTATAGACTATAGTCCAGACTATAGACTATAGAATATAGTCTAGACTATAGTCCAGACTATAGTCCAGACTATAGTCCAGACTATAGCCTATAGTCCAGACTATATATAGCCCAGACTTAATTGTAGTATAAAGAATGCTATTTTCTTTGCCTTCACTGTTGTCCTACCAAAATATCATTCTATTCTATAGTATTACTAATCTATTCTAGAAAATAAAACTATATAAATATTTAATTGTCTTCGTCTCCGTCTATTACAACAATTCATGTTTTATTAAACAATTCCCACATGTAATTTACCTTGTAAGTGTGTTGTATTCTATTTTTTTTTTCTACAATTTTAATTTAATTGATTTATTTCTCATAGAATTTTGTTTAATACAACTAAAGTATAAACAATTACATTTTGCTAAACAAAAACTAAAATTAAGTAGTTTGTCAATTTATGGTTAATTATAAATAACTGCTAATCAAAAATTCAAATATAATTCTATTTTAAATAGTGACAAAGAAATGTTATGACAGCTAGCAGGGATTGTCACATACACATATTGAATGACAATTGAGGAAAATTGTTAATGGTTGGCAACAGAGTAAGGTGAGTTTTGTTTAATTGGTGCAAAAAATATATATAATTCCTGGAGAATGTTTAAAAGTGTAATTACCTGGAATTTGTTTTGTTGGCAAAATAAAGCAATTATTTAATTAACTTACCTGTAAAAAAAATAAACAATTTAAAATATTTTATCTAATAGAGAATGTTAGAAAATGTGTTAATTAAAACTATGTTACAATAATAGAAAAGTTATTCAATGTATTCTACTCAATAGTGCAAATTATAGTCCACACTATACACTATTCTATAGTCCAGACTATATGCTAATCTATAGTCCAGACTATAGACTGATCTATAGTCCAGACTATAGACTAATCTATAGTCCAGACTATAGACTAATCAATAGTCCAGACTATAGACTAATCTATAGTCCAGACTATATACTATTCTATAGGCCAGACTATAGACTATTCTATAGACCACACTATAGACTATTCTATAGTCCAGACTATAGACTATTCTATAGGCCAGACTATAGACTATTCTATAGGCCAAACTATAGACTATTCTATAGGCCAGACTATAGACTATTCTATAGTCCAGACTATATACTATTCTATAGTCCAGACTATAGACTATTCTATAGTCCAGACTATAGACTATTCTATAGTCCAGACTATAGACTATTCTATAGTCCAGACTATAGACTATTCTATAGTCCAGACTATAGACTATTCTATAGTCCAGACTATAGACTTTTCTATAGTCCAGACTATAGACTTTTCTATAGTCCAGACTATAAACTATTCCATAGTCCAAACTATAGACTATTCTATAGTCCAGACTATAGACTATTATATTATTTATAGTCTAGACTATAGACTATTCTATAATCCATACTATAGACTATAGAATATTCTATAGTTCAGACTATAAACTATTCTATAGTTCAGACTATAGACAATTCTATAGTCCAGACTATAGACTATTCTATAGTGCAGACTATTCTACAGCCCAGACAATAGACTATTCTGTATTTCAGACTATAGACTATTCTATAGTCCAGTGTGTAGACTATTCTATAGTCTAGACTATAGACTATTCTATAGGCCAGATTATAGACTATTCTATAGGCCAGATTATAGACTATTATATAGTCCAGACTATTCTATAGTCCAGACTATAGACTATTCTATAGTCCAGACTATAGACTATTCTATAGTCCAGACTATAGACTATTCCATAGTCCAGACTATAGACTATTCCATAGTCCAGACTATAGACTATTCCATAGTCCAAACTATAGACTATTCTATAGTCCAGACTATAGACTATTATATTATTTATAGTCTAGACTATAGACTATTCTATAATCCATACTATAGACTATTCTATAGTGCAGACTATTCTACAGCCCAGACAAAAGACTATAGACTATTCTATAGTCCAGACTATAGACTATTCTATAGTCCAGACTATAGACTATTTTATAGTCTAGACTATAGACTATTCTATAGTCCAGACTATAGACTATTCTATAGTACAGACTATAGACAATTCTATAGTCCAGACTATAGACTATTCTATAGGCCAGACTATAGACTATTCTATAGGCCAAACTATAGACTATTCTATAGGCCAGACTATAGACTATTCTATAGTCCAGACTATAGACTATTCTATAGTCCAGACTATAGACTATTCCATAGTCCAGACTATAGACTATTCCATAGTCCAAACTATAGACTATTCTATAGTCCAGACTATAGACTATTATATTATTTATAGTCTAGACTATAGACTATTCTATTGTCTATACTATAGACTATAGAATATTCTATAGTGCAGACTATAGACTATTATATTATTTATAGTCTAGACTATAGACTATTCTATAGTCCATACTATAGACTATAGAATATTCTATAGTGCAGAGTATAGACTATTCTATAGTCCAGACTATAGACTATTCTATAGTCAAGACTATGGACTATTTATTCTATAGCCCCGACTACTGACTATTCTATAGTCCCGACTATAGACTAATCTATAGTCCCGACTATAGACTATTCTATAGTCCCGACTATAGACTATTCTATAGTCCCGACTATAGACTATTCTATAGTCCCGACTATAGACTATTCTATAGTCCAGACTATATATAGTCCGACTACTGACTATTCTATAGTCCTGACTATAGACTAATATATAGTCCCGACTATAGACTATTCTATAGCCCCGACTACTGACTATTCCCGACTCCGTCGTATACTTTATATAAATGACTATTTGTAAACCTTTTTTGAAATATTCCCATCTAACAGTTCTCCTTTGCAATTTTGCATAATTTTTATTTAGTAAAACAAACAAACAAAATGATAACAACAATAATAACAAAAAACCAGACTAATAATATGTAGGGCTAAAATTTATTTTTCATAATTTCATAAATATTGTTGTTGTGGCGTCGTTACCGTCAAATAGAACATGGTAATTTTGTTAAATGTTTTATCTAGATAAACAAAGTCACACTCACATGCTCACACTTACTTCCCTTAGTCAGAAATGGCCTAGGGAACGACAAGTAATCAAATGACAGTGATATTTAATGGCTGCTAGACATGAAAATGTAGGATAACCGAAAGACAGACATATCGGTCATTGAAACTGATGAAAAATTCACCCCAAAAGAAAAAAGCAAGCAAAATTATAGGTTAAAAAGTGAATTTGGGACAAATTATGAGTGGTCCGTTGCAATGAACGGTTAACAGACTTGTATGTTGTTAACAACTATTACCGGTCATAACAACAGCAACAACAAGTGACATTTTATCTTTAACATTTGATCTCAAAACGACAACGTTGACAGAGAGACTCCTCGTTAATTGTTTAAATAAAATTAAAAAAATATATATTAAAAATTTACTAAATATTCAGCTGGTTGGTGGTAGGTTTTGGATTTACTCCCCCAGTGTATGTTAATTGTTTGTATTTTTTTAAGACGGAAATTTTGTTGCGTGTCTTGTTAAAGTTATAGTCTAGAAGTCAATTCATTCATCACACTACTCCCCCTGGCTATCAAAACAAGTGTCAAAACAATTTTCATTAAAATAATGAAAATATGTATATATGGAAATATAGCTTCTTTATTTTTAAAGTTGAAGAAAGAAGACAGGACCTTTTGTTCATAATTAAGACATTAAATATTTGTTTACATATACCAGAGAAGGAAGGATTCTAAGGTTAATAAATGCTATATAGTCCATATTACGAGATTTTAGTATTATCTTATACTATGAAATAATATATAGTCTGGACTAAAGAATATAGTTTATAGTATGGACTATAAAGCAGTCCATAGTCTAGTTTATAGCCTATATAATAGTCTATAGTCTGGACTATATAATAGTCTATAGTCTGGATTATAGAATAGTCTATAGTCTGGACTATAGAATAGTCTATAGTCTGGATTATAGAATAGTCTATAGTCTGGCCTATAGAATAGTCTGCGCTATATAATAGCCTGTAGTCTGGACTATAGAATAGTCTATAGTCTGGACTATAGAATAGTCTATAGTCGGGACTATAGAATTGTCTATAGTCTGGACTATAAAATTGTCTATATTCTGAACTGTAGAATAGTCTATAGTCTGGACTATAGATATGTAAGTCCATAGTCTGGACTATAGACTATTCTACAGTCTGGACTATAGAATAGTCTATAGTCTGGACTATAGAATAGTCTATAGTCTGGACTATAAAATAGTCTATAGTCTGGACTATAAAATAGTCTATAGTCTGGGCTATAGAATAGCCTACAGTCTGAACTATAAAATAGTCTATAGTCTGGCCTATAAAATAGTCTATAGTCTGGCCTATAGAATAGTCTATAGTCTGGACTATAGAATAGTCTATAGTCTGGACTATAGAATAGTCTATAGTCTGGACTATAGAATAGTCTATAGTCTGGACTATAGAATAGTCTATAGTCTGGACTATAAAATAGTCTATAGTCTGGGCTATAGAATAGCCTACAGTCTGAACTATAAAATAGTCTATAGTCTGGCCTATAAAATAGTCTATAGTCTGGCCTATAGAATAGTCTATAGTCTGGACTATAGAATAGTCTATAGTCTGGACTATAGAATAGTCTATAGTCTGGACTATAGAATAGTCTATAGTCTGGACTATAGAATAGTCTATAGTCTGGACTATAGAATAGTCTATAGTCTGGACTATAGAATAGTCTATAGTCTGGACTATAGAATAGTCTATAGTCTGGACTATAGAATAGTCTATAGTCTGGACTATAGAATAGTCTATAGTCTGGACTATAGATAGTCTATAGTCTGGACTATAGAATAGTCTATAGTCTGGACTATAGAATAGTCTATAGTCTGGACTATAGCATAGTCTAGTCTGGACTATAGAATAGTCTAGTCTGGACTATAGAATAGTCTATAGTCTGGACTATAGAATAGTCTATAGTCTGGACTATAGAATAGTCTATAGTCTGGACTATAGAATAGTCTATAGTCTGGACTATAGAATAGTCTATAGTCTGGACTATAGAATAGTCTATAGTCTGGACTATAGAATAGTCTATAGTCTGGACTATAGAATAGTCTATAGTCTGGACTATAGAATAGTCTATAGTCTGGACTATAGAATAGTCTATAGTCTGGACTATAGAATAGTCTATAGTCTGGACTATAGAATAGTCTATAGTCTGGACTATAGAATAGTCTATAGTCTGGACTATAGAATAGTCTATAGTCTGGACTATAGAATAGTCTATAGTCTGGACTATAGAATAGTCTATAGTCTGGACTATAGAATAGTCTATAGTCTGGACTATAGAATAGTCTATAGTCTGGACTAGAATAGTCTATAGTCTGGACTATAGAATAGTCTATAGTCTGGACTATAGAATAGTCTATAGTCTGGACTATAGAATAGTCTATAGTCTGGACTATAGAATAGTCTATAGTCTGGACTATAGAATAGTCTATAGTCTGGACTATAGAATAGTCTATAGTCTGGACTAGAGAATAGTCTATAGTCTGGACTAGAGAATAGTCTATAGTCTGGACTAGAGAATAGTCTATAGTCTGGACTATAGAATAGTCTATAGTCTGGACTATAGAATAGTCTATAA